AAAACAGCTCAAAGAATTCAACAGATTACAAGTTCTCGCTAAATACTATTTGAAACTTGACGCCTTATTCTTTATTTCTTCAGACTTTCGATTTAAAAGGTTCCATGAGAAGCCGGTACGTTCAGACTTCTGGGATGAAGAACGATGTATTACTGGACGAGAACCTGCTTGAAAGTGAGTCAAAGACGACTTACTCAATAGTTTTTATGGTTTTTCCCTGGTGACTTACCTTTCCACCAGTAATAGTCCGTAAGGAAGCGCGTTAGTTATTATTTGGATTTTCAGGCTCTGTAAGAATATTGTATTTTTCCCGCATTTTCCCTCACTGGCGTGTTTCCCGCTCTTTCCCGACGGTTGCATTTTCCGTTGGTCATTCGCTGGTGGGATATTTCTCGCGCTAACCACTAACGGGGCGTTTCGTGCGTTTTTCCCCACTTGCGTTCTGCCCTTTCCATTCAGAAACACTTGGCAAACAAGACTTTCTTAATTATACAGCAATAACTTTCAACTCATTTTACTGTTCCAGTGATCCGCGAGTGTCCCATATTTATCCGTCCGCATTCCAAAGCCATTCTGTCGCGTGCCATTCACAACGACACCGAATTCCTTGCTCAGCAGATGGTAATGGATTATTCGCTGTTGGTTGGTATAGACGAAGCCCGGTCTGAACTGGTCACCGGAATCATAGGTGGGTCAAGCAGAGCTCAGTTCGTACAAAAGGGCAGCCTTAGGCAGGGTTGGCAAAACGTGTAATGGAGAAGGCAATTAAGGCTATCGTGAACGTCACTTACCTGCTTCAGATTTCAGGCAGGACAGAGAACTATTCATTTCAAATAGGACTCTCTTCACACCTCTGGCAAATTATGTATCCAATCCCAATAACAACTGGGTAATAGCTGCTGTGCAATTTTCTTCGATAGCATTTCAATAATTGCACGATATTTCATCGGCAATTTTAGTCAAATACCGGTAACATAAAAGTAGCCTTATATATATCTGTGAATCAGGTCTATGCGAAATTCTGCGTCGTAGTCAGTTGATTTGAACAGTCGTTCGACGCAGTAGTTCTCGTAACATGTACGATAAGTTGTGCGTGAAAATGGACACCCTTTTCATGGACTCTTCTGTTCTGTAGATTTTATTCGAACATTCACTTGGGATAAGAAGTTGGAGATGTACGTGAAAGCCAGCGGCATTCTTGGGGGCCAAGGAAGAATGCCTACGGTAGTGTCCCCTGAGTTGTACAGGACACGATTCACTGAGGCCATGCACAGATACTTTCTTATGGTCCCTGATAAATGGACTGGGCTCGGAAATGACCTTGACTAAGGGATCACTTTAGATAAGTACCTTATGTTTCATCGAGGCCTTGTTCAAACGCTTCAGCGGTGAGTTAAAAAAGATGGACCAATCTTGAAAATGAGCTCGTTTATGTTACCGCTAGTGTGTCCTCAGTTTACTATGGTGCATGATTCACCGAAGCCTCGCAAAGCTACTTTATTATGGCCCCTAGTTGATAAACAGTCCTGTCTTACATGAGAGACCCACTTTGCAGTTGCTCGGGTTGCTGGGGACTAATTTGGTCGGAAGCCTGACTTAAGTCCCTTACATTCGCTTCTAACTGTACCCTCAGTACCTTGGATAGGTTCTGGAATTAGAGGGTACAGCAAATGTAGAATTGGACCCTTTTTGCCACCGACAATCATTCTTAGACACGCATACTTTCATATTTCAAGGAAGGGGGTATATTTTCTTTTAATTATGGCATTTGTATTTGAATATTTAATTTATGCTATGAAATGTTTGTATAGAATTTTTTGAAGTCGTAAATTATTTGGAGAAACAATGAATGGAGAGCAAGATTGACATTTTCATATTAAAATAGAGATATTGTAAACAATTAGTGTATACTGGGATAAATGTTGAATAGGGGTAATGTTTAATACTCTAATAGTTTCTGTCATTTATATTTGTGCAGTCTTGATGACTCTAACTTTTCTTGTGACCTTTGTGACATTTCATTTGTTGTGACTTGTCATCAGACTTCAGAAATATTGAAAAACGATTTTTATGATTAAAGAGCTGAAAAGGTTTCTCATTGAAAGAAAATTTAAAAAAATAATAATTTTGCGTTTTTGCGCAACTGATCATGAGTCGTCCTTCTTTCTTTGATTTTTCTCTATCTCTACCTTAAGTTAAAGTAAAATCGTCAAGTCATACTGGAGGTAACTTGTAAGTTTATTTTATTCACGCAAAGATCCTTAAGAAAAATGTTACATTACTTGTCGTACATTAACTATTTCAATGACATCCTTGAAGTACTTATTTCCAACTCAAAAATAGTGTTGGTCGACTCAACACCTTTGAAGTAGGTCAAGTATTCTAATATATACATCTCTGTAATGATCAACTAGAGTAACATTTTACAATCAAAATAGTTCTAAATCTTTCTGTTAGATAAAATTACAGGACATTTCTTAGGAAATTAATTCTGATCATTCAAATTGATAACTTTTTTGTAATTTTACTTTTATCAAACAGCTAACATTTTAAGGTTTGTCGTAATTACAAACAGCTTTTGTCATCTTATATAAAAGTTCTGAGATAAAATTAAAACCTTTCATTTCTTAATTATTTTGTCTGTTGATAGATACTTCTGTTTGAAATGAATTTCACCAAACCCATAACTTCCCCTCTCCTATTTCATCACCAGTTTCCTTCAGCCAAATGCTTTTGTAAATATCTGCTAATGTTATGATTGAAAAAAAGCAGATTACTTAGAAAATAAGCGGAGTTCCATTCTTTACCAATCTCATGTTTGACTCCGAACTTCGTATTCGTAGATTTTGGTTTGGTGCAAATCCTCTTTGTGAGCAAGTCTACTCAAGAATTTGTATGCGATGGTTATAAGAATCGGACACAACAATTCGTCCATTACAAAGAATTGTTGTGGAAATCGGAGATTTGAACTCCCCTGCCTAACTACCTTTTGTTCCAAACTGGCCAAGGAACGTTCCATTCAGTTGAAATACTTGTATTCTGTGATTTTCTTTGTCAGAGACCATTAGGTGTTCCGATTCTGTGTTCAATGATAAACAACAGGGATTATTAAAATCTCCATCCCCTGCACATTTCTTTCCAAACTTGTACTGAAAGTTTCCATTCCTATCAAAACCTTTGATACAATGTTCTCCACTGTCTGAAACTATGAAATATCTATCAACCTGGACAGTGGACAGAGAAAGTAAATGAATCCTTGTCAACTATCTTCTTTAGAAACTTGCCATCAGAGAAAAGATCTTAATCAGTTCGTTACCTAAATCAGCGACAGCGAAATTTCCATCATTATCTGGAGATAAACCCAAGGTAATACTGAGCTGACAATCAAGTCTTCCTTTCCGGCCACCAAAGGTTCCCAGGTGTAGTGTATAGGATGCCAACGAGCATATAATATGCGCGATGTAATGTGATGCGAGACCTGCATATATACAGCATGTGTTTAATTATTTAGTTCTCTTAGGTATGTGAATAAAACCGAGTTCATTTTAACCGCTGTGTACTATATTTGCGACGAGGATTTTGAGAATTTTGAAGATTTAGAGGACTTCGAGGATTTCGAGGTTTTGTCGAAGGTTTGAGGAGTTTCGTCCGGGAATTCGTAAGTGATTTCGCCAGGGATTTATTTCAGACATGCCGGGACACGGTGGATCAGACGAAACGACAAGCGGTGCTGTTAGCATTTCTATTAATGGTTCTGGAATGGCTTCAGTTGCTTTAGATGTCAGTGGATTGGAACCATTTAATCCGAAGGAAGAGGCACACAATTTAAGTCAGCGGTGGAAGAGATGGAAGCGAGCGTTTGATTTGTACGTGACGGGAAAAGGTGTTTCGAACGACGCTCAAAAGCGGGCTCTTCTGTTGCACGTTGCTGGTATGGACGTTCAGGAAATTTATTTCACATTAGCCGGTGATGGCGAGGATGTGAGTTTTCAGGCAACACTTCGGGTACTTGACAATTATTTTTTTCCCAAGTCAAACGTTCCTTTTGAGAGACATTTGTTTAGACAAATTTCGCAGGAGAGCAGAGAAACTGTGGACCAGTTTGTGTGCAGATTGCATCAGCGAGCAGCAACTTGTGAGTTTGGCGTCAACGAGGACGACTACATTCGGGATCAACTCATAGACAAGTGTTACTCCAGCCACTTGCGCCGGAAGTTCCTGGAAAAGGAAGGGACTGTTACTTTGGGTGATTTGTTGCGGGTTGCGAGATCCCAAGAAGCAGTTGATAGACAACTGAAACAATTCAACACGGACCAGGTAGACCGGGTCAATGCAGTGAGAGGAAAAGTGGATGGAAACAAGAATCCCAGAAAATTGAAGACGTGCTTTAGTTGCGGACGGGAAGGACACTTTAGTCAGGATTGGAGGTGCCCGGCGCGAGGTCAGACTTGCGGGAAGTGCGGTACGATAGGCCATTTCAAAGTCAAATGCCCCCAATTCCATCAGCGAGGCGGCGCCCAGTCGGNCGAAATAAATTTTTGCTCATGGTGGCTTAGAACCTTTACCGACCCTAGGAACTGTTACAGCAGATGTCACGCGAGCTGGGTGTGGGTTTAAAAACGGAAGTAAGGCTGACTTCATAGTGGTTGACGGCGATGGTCGTACGCTGTTGGGTCGCGAAACTGCCGAGGTGCTGAACCTGCTACGTGTTGGTCCTTTTCAGGCAAAGAGTGTCGACGGAGGATGACCAGACGGCAGTGTTAGAGAAAAATACAAGGAGTTATTTAGTGGTGTTGGTCTTTTGAAGGGTTACGAATTAAACCTGCATGTTGATGAGTCAGTGAAGCCTGTAGCGCAGCATGTACGCCGGATTCCTTTTGGGTTGCGAGAGAAGGTTGATGCAAAGCTTGATGAACTTTTGAGGGTGGACATCATAGAGGAAGTACCGGAAGGGCCGTCAGGATAGATATCGCCATTGGTGGTTGTTCCCAAAGGTGACGGTGACGTGAGGGTCTGTGTTGACATGCGCCGAGCGAATGAAGCAATCGTCAGGGAGCGGCATCCAATTCCAACCGTCGAGGAGCTGTTACATGACTTGAATGGAAGTACCATGTTTAGCAAGATTGATCTCTAGTGGGGTTTTCACCAGATCCTGCTCAGCGAGGAAAACCGTCAGGGCTGTATCGGTACAAGTGGTTGATGTTTGGGGTGACATCGGCACCAGAAAAATATCAGCAAATCATCAGAGACGTGTTAAGGGGTTGTGCTGGGGTTGCCAACATTGCGGACGATCTTATTGTTCATGGAGGTGACGTGGAGGAACACGACAAGCGTCTTTTTGCTGTGTTGGATAGGCTGAGTAAAGTGGGGTTGACGGTGAACGGAGACAAGTGCCATTTTAGGTTGTCGAAGCTTACGCTCTTTGGCCATGAGTTGACTAGTGACGGTATAAATCCATGCGAAGAGAAGATAGCCGCTCTTAGAGATGCAAGACCTCCCAAAGACGCAAACGAAGTACGATCGTTTATGCGTATTGTCCAGTATTCTTCGAAGTTCATGCCAGACGTAGCGTCCGTAACGAAGCCTATTCAAGAGTTGACCAGGAAGGGCGTCGTGTTTCACTGGGGAAATGAGCAACAAGCAGCTTTCGAGGAACTAAAGCGTCTAATCACCCAGGCGGAGACACTGGCTTATTTTAAGGTTGGCTGAAGAACGCGAATCATTGCTGATGCATCCCCAGTTGGCTTAGGGGCAGTTCTCACCCAGCAGCAGAGAGGCATGTGGAGAGTTGTCTCGTACGCATCAAGGAGCTTAACTGACGTCGAACGGCGCTACAGCCAAACGGAGAAGGAAGCGCTGGCCTTGGTTTGGGCATGTGAACGGTTTAACATGTATGTTTCTGGACAGGACTTCGAGTTGGAGACCGACCACAAGCCTCTGGAGCGTATCTACTCCAGTACTTCGAGACCTTGCGCCAGGATAGAGAGATGGGTCTTAAGGCTACAAGGGTACGATTTTAAAGTAGTGTACCGCCCAGGAAAGACTAATATAGCAGACGCGTTGTCCCGCTTGAATTCGGATCACGTGGACCATGGAGAGGAGTATGACTATGTTAGAGCAATTGTTGAGGACTGTGTACCCGTTGCTCTATCACCTAGAGAGATTGAGGAAGCTTCCTATGATGACGAGGAATTGACCCAGGTGAAGAAATGTGTTAAGACAGGGAACTGGGACCAGTGTATACTTCCCTCGTATGCACAGGTCAAGGACGAATTATGTCTGTATGGTGAACTCTTGCTTCGAGGCACAAGGATTGTGGTTCCCAGGCTCTTGCGCGACAGGATGGTGCGGTTAGCACACGAAGGGCACCAGGGTATAGTCAAAACGAAGTATCGTCTCCGCAGTAAAGTTTGGTGGCCAAGAATGGACAAAGACGTTGAGAAGTTTTGTAGAATTTGTCATGGCTGCCAGGTCACTTCTGGATTTGACCCCCCAGAGCCGATGTCTCGCGTTTTTCCTCCAAGTGCCCCTTGGCAGGACTGTGGAGCAGATCTACTAGGACCCCAATAATTAAAGAAGGAAGGAACTGCAGAACTGACTTGCTGGTATGGTTGACGGCGTACAGATCCACTCCGCAAACGACGACAGGGACTACACCCTGTTATATGATGTTTGGTCGCGAAATGAGATCCAAGCTGCCAGAGCTAAAGAGAGAGACAGTTGGTGTGCCAGGCGAGGAAGTGCAAGAGCGAGATTGGTCATGTAAATTAAAGGGAAAAGCTTACGCTGACCTTAAGAGGGGTGCCACGCCCAAAAGCATAAGTGTTGGCGACACGGTTCTTGTGAAAGCAGAGAAAACCAACAAGCTGTCTACCAACTTTAACCCTGATCCCTTTAAGGTTGTTCATAAGACGGGGTCAGAGGTAACGCTCAGGAACGAGACTGGCATTGAACTGAAAAGAAACACTGTGTTTGTAAAGAAGTATAACGGGCACGGAGATGTATCCAATGACAACGAAGACCAAGTGGTACAGGCAGGTTCTGCAGTACGGGTGGAAGACCCAGGGGCGAGCAAACTTCCAGAGACGACAGTCATACCTATGCCAAAAGAGATTCCTGGAACGTCTGAAGATTCTCAAGAACAACCTAGGCATTTCCCAGACAATCAAAATACCGGAGTGGGAAGGCCTGTTCGGAGGTCGACCCGGACTGTACGACCGCCCGATCGTTATAAAGTTATATAAACTGAATATGAACTGAATATGATATGAACTGAATATCTTCAACTTCTTGTCCTTTTATCGAGCGACTGGTTTTATTTAAAGGCTTTGATTTGTATGTTGAATATTTAGGAAAGGAGGGAATGTAGTGTATAGGATGCCAACGAGCATATCATATGCGCGATGTAATGTTATGCGTGATGTGTGATGTAATACCCTCGAGACCTGCATATATACAGCATGTGTTTAATTATTTAGTTAGTTTTCTCAGGTACGTGAATAAAACCGATGTCATTTTAACCGCTGTGTACTACACCAGGCACTCACCCTCCCTACTGGAAATCTGGATTCTATGATTCGAATACTCTGCCACAAAGGTATTCACATTATCATATAAAGCGTTTCCCGTAAGATTTTTAAATTCGCCCGCTTTGTTACCTTCCCGACCAAGAAACCTAAAGAGTAACTAAAGATTTCTAAAGACGAACCTAAATGGTGTAACATGCACAGTGAAAGGACTGTCATGAACATGTTCCCCGTTTACCTTTACTGCCACTTGACATTTTCCCTGATCTCTGGGAAGATAGCTAATCTGATAGACTCCATCCTTACAGTCATTTATTTGTGTTTCTACCACGCTTTCTCGTCCTCGTTCGTCCCTGATCTCCACTGTTATATGGTCATGTAACACTGTCTTCCTTCGACGTCTTTTGTGGTCACAGTAAACTGCGCTTCACGGTGAGCAATTCCTTCTTCCAGTCCTTTGCCTTCAACAACACACTGACTCGCTTTTGTTGGTTTTTTTTCAAAGTTCCAATGTCTTCAGTTTTGACAGTGTCGAATAACTTTTGATTTTTCACAAACAAAATGAATGCATAAAAGAACGAATGAGAATGAGAATGAGAATGAGCCACAATTTCCAGGTCACGGACAGTTGGCTCTGTTTGATCAACTCCTTCAAATATGGCGTCTAATGATTTCTTCAGTTGAACGACCTCGGCGTTTTTACTTCGGGTGAAATTAAGTTTCTCGGCCTTCTTCAGAGATGATTTTATCGCCGTTATCTGACGTTCGATCTCGGTCTTTCGCTTTGCTATGCATTCAATCGACTTTCTTTTTCTTAATTCTTTCTCCACTGTTGTAAATGTGTTTCGCTTCTTTGCTTGAATGACTGCAGTTAAATTGTCAACAATTGTTTGAACAGCTCTCTTTACTTCTTCGCCATGTTGTATGAGTCTGGCACAGTCTTGATCAATTTTAATAGCGACGTTGATCTTTGCTTGTAGATTGCGTCGCTGGTTTTCAATGAAAGAGTTCATTTCAGTCTTTTGTGTCTCTGCTTCCGCTTTGATCAGTTTCAGGTTATGACCTCCGTGGTTCAATGTGACACAGATCTGACAGACTGGCATTTCACAGCCTTTGCAAAAATACTTCAGCTCTTCTTTGTTATAATCTTCCTCAGGACAGAAAGCGGGTCGTATCATGACATCTTCATAGTCCTTGTCTTGAAAGTCTTTGAGCACCAGAACACGATGATTTTTATTGCTGCGAATGATGTTGTGTCCAATGATGCACCCATTACACCAAAACCGGCAACAACGAAAACAATAAGAACTCTCAGAGCTTCTCTTGACACAATTTCCACATCGCACTTGTCTGGTTTTACATTCTTTAATGGTCAGCACGCCAATCAAGCCGTTCAGATAAAAACTGGTGGGAAGATCTTTGAGATCGCCACTTTCAGGCACTTGGCTAATAGCTTGACACTTCGGACATCTAGTTGTGTGTCTCGGCCTTTGCTCGTTCTGTGCCAGTGTAGACATGCAAGGTGCTTCGGATCCGTGTACACGTTACTACATACTGGGCACGAAACTTCCCCGCGAAGATTGTGAAGCAACGTTTTGATATCCATGAGCTTTTCACTAAGAACTGTGTATACGCTCGGTCAAAGCGACTTTTCTCGGAATTGCACTCGAAACAATGAAGCCTTGTGACTTTTTTTTTTAGCTATTCTTAGACTCAGTTATTTGTTGTGACAGCAAGTTTTATGTCTACACCAATCAGAGCGTTGTTAACCTTAGAAACATATCAATTTGTCTTGGATTCTTGTTTCTCGGGGATGTGAAACTGACTCGCACATTGTTTTTTGTCCGGCTGGAACAATTATTTTGTCACTAAAACTTGATCTCTATCAATAGAAATTTATGGACTTCATCTGCGAAAGAGAGTAGAAGCTCTGGGTTTACGGGTGCTATGATTCTTGCCTGAAATAAATCTTACAAAGAGTGATGAAAGATGACTTGACCTCGTTACAGATGTTTATTTCTATTTTGACACAAACCATGGGGATAAAATTCAGTATTGAATATGTGCTGACACTGGAACTAGTGGTTTTGTCAGTAAACAAAGACTGATTTCTAATAAAGTGCTTCTAAGCTGACAGATGCCATTTCCCCATTTTGGCTGGCTTCAGGAAGAGAAGGAACCTTGCGACTAAAAATTTTTTTAAGGAAACATCTGTGGGGTTTTATATGGCAGGCAATCAGAACACAAGTACAGAATTTTATATGTTTTGCCCGCTCGATCAGTCAGCCACAACCAAGAGAGTAAAACTCAGAAAAAGGGTGCACCGTTTACGTGAGGTTAATTCTTTGGGTGTAACACTGTATTTTTAAGAGCTACAGTCTTAAACAAAAGATGTTTAAAAGGCTTAGGAGCCTAGATCTGTGGCCTGAGAAACGGGAGTCACAAAGGCGGAACACACCTCCAGTGACTCCGTGCGTGACCTCGACAAACACATAGACTCCCATCCACGTTAGCGTCAATGCCCTCTCATATGATTTGAATTAATCTACTGTAGTTTATCAGGGAATGCTTTCAAAAGTATTTATTGATAGTTTGCTGTAGTTTTTATGGTCATATTGGCGGTTTTAGGGTAAAAAATGTCATTTAACGACTTACTTCCTACGGGTAAAATCTCGTAAATACCAACTTTGGTTTAAGAATTTCGTGAAAGCCTTAAGAATCTCAAATTTGTTAAACGTGGCGAATGCAGAGAGTAAAAAGGAGGGATGGGACGGCGAATTAAAATGTTCTACAAGGAGATCCATTATCCAAAAATATAATCCTCTTTTCATTTCGTACCCTGATAAGTTAGATACATATCACGTAGTGTAAAATGTAGGGGTCATCGGTGTTCAAGTCAGCAGTAAGTGAATTAAGGTCTGGTGTTTCCTGTGTTGTTACAGGGAACTCTAGGAGGTCATTTAACACATGCTCAGCTTAGGATTACTCTCTTAGACCTCTGCTATTATTTAGTTATGTTTTGGCATTGCAAATCGATTTTTGTTTCTTGAGATCAAGAAAGATCCTTTCTGGAAACAGTTTCCCATTCTTTTTCTTTTTCGCCAGGGGAGGAGGTAGGAATGTAATGAACTATCTGATGGTAAAAAGCTAATCTCTCATTGATTATTAATCATTATATTGAATCAAAGTCAAATCATCGAGCCAATCAGACATAGCTAGTTAACTCTTTTTATAACACAAGTCTCGAGACGAAATGATAAATGAAGTCTTCTGACACTTGCCTATTTTATGTACAACAACCAATTGAAAGTTTTTAATTGTGAGTCTAAATTACTTTCGTTCGATTTTTACGCTATCAATCTAATTATCTAAGTGAGGTAAGCAGTTCTATAATGAAAGAGTACACTGTTCAAATTACCATGACTGGAATATGCAAAAAAGCGAATTCGTACAACCGGCATTGGGAAACACGCCTACTTTAATCTTCAGGCCTAGCTCGTTTACAAAATGTCTTTTTCTTCTCACATAAAAATTAATAACATATTCCTCTTAAGAAAGAGCAATAATGAAATGTTTCTTTCCCAACAAAGTGAGTCACGGGATTACAAAGAGCTCAAGCAGTGGTCTCAACTCTCCCTGAAACTTACTTATATGAGCATCTTGAACTTAGATCAGGAACTGTCTAAAATGTTTTAAACAGGCATTGAGACTGAAACCATCACTGACTAACTGCATCTCAACGATCCTTCCTTAAACGTCGAAAACTTGAATCTCTTTTGGACTGACACCCTCACTTTGACTCAAAAGAAACTCCTAAGAACGCTGTTTGATATTAGATTATGATATACAAAGAGTTTTTCAGACCAGTGCCCTTGCCCTGTAATTATTGCATGAGCTCGTCACTTTGACTGGTCCCAACTGTTTTTATATCACTGCTAATGTTCAGGTTGGAATGAAAAACAATTTAAACAACGTTTTTAGCCCATTTCCCTCCCCGGTCATTAAAATCTATTGTTACCTTCGCTAATCTTAATTATTAAAAACTGGATCATTGGATAATGCAATTCAATACTTTTTATTGGCTTAGCCATCATGGTATATGAGCCAATACACCATAATATCTGTACATTGTAACATCCGGTTTCTTCTTACAAACTAAAGCCGAGAAGATTTGTCTAATATCTTGGGGGCTTTTTTTTTAATAAAACAATTATTCCACTCGCGCTTTTTGCATACGAGATGATTATATATCCGTATCATCTCATATCCAACGCGCGCTCGTGGAATAATTGTTAATTATTCTATGAACAATTGACAGTGTCAAGACTGAAAATAACAAAGAAGGTCACCTAAGGAATCAGGGTTTTCGAAAGTTTTGTAAAGTAGCGGACATGTTCGTGAAAGCACCGGACGTGACATATTTTTGATGCTTAACTAAAAACAAATTATAATGATAAAATAATAAAAAATCCCACAAATATTGCAATCAAAGTACCGGACATAGAATGGAAAACGACCGGACGAAACGTCCGGCCTCCGGCCTCAAACGAAAACCCCGAGGAATGAGGATAATTTCCAATGTTTTCATTCGACAGTTGAGCTATAAATTACGTATCCTTTGATTTTCGTTTGTCGTAAAAGTCCGTCTGAGACCGTCTATTCCAATATCTGTATGCGACAATTAAAAGTGTCAGACACAACAATTTGGCCATTTCTTAGAACTGCTAAAGCGGTTGGAATATGAAACTCGCCTATATTGCCACCGTTTTTTCCAAACCTGCCCAGAAACTTTCCACTCAGGTCAAATACTTGTATTCTGTCGTTAGCACCATCACAGACCATCAGGAGTCCGAACTTGTTCAATGTCAAACATGTGGGAAAATGAAACTCCCCGTTCCCAGAACCCCCCTTTCCAAACTTGTACAGAAAGTTTCCATTCCTGTCAAATACTTTAATACAATGTTGATGATGATCAGACACTATGAGATATCTATCATACTGAACACAGTGGAATGGACATGTAAATAAACCCTTCCCACCAATCTTCTTAAGGAACTTGCCATCAGGAGAAAAGATCTTAATCAGTTTATTACCACTATCAGCGACAATGATATTCGCATCACTGTCTACAGATAAACCCCAGGGAGTATTGAGTGGACTATCGAGTCTTCCTTACCCACCAAAGATTCCCACGTACTCACCCTCCCCAGTGAAAATCTGGATTCTATGATTCCCACTGTCTACCACTAAAAAATTTCCATTATCATTATAAGTTATTCCCATGGGATTAATAAACTCTCCCGCCCCGGTACCATACCGACCAAAGGATCTTACGTAATTTCCTTGGATGTTAAAAATTTGAACAGTGTGGTGGCTATCATCAGTTACAGCTATTTCATTCATATAATTAACTGCTACTCCCCAAGGTGGACGAAAAGTTCCTAAACCCAAGTCTATTTTTCCAAAAGACCGAATAGGTTTTAACTGAAATGGTGTTACATGCACAGTGAAAGGACTGTGCTGTACATGTTCCCCTTTTACCTTTACTGCCACTTGGCATTTTCTCTGATCTCTGGGAAGATAGCTAATCTGATAGACTCCATCCTTACAGTTATTTATTTGTAATTCTGTCACGCTTCCATGTCCTTGTTCGTCCCTGATCTCCACCGTTACATGGTCACGTTCATGGTAACACTGTCTTCCTTCGATGTCTCTTGTGGTCAGAGTAAACTTCGCTTCACGGATAATATTTACTTCTTCCAGTCCTTTGCCTTCAACAACACACTGACTTGCTTTTGTTGGTTTTTTCAAAGTTCCAATTTCTTCAGTCATGACAATGTCTAATAAGTTTTGATTTTTCACTAAGACAAATTGAGCTAGATGTTCCGGGACATGGTCGGTTGGCTCCGTTTGATCAACTCCGCCCTCAAAGATGGTGTCAAATGATTTCTTCAGTCGAACGATTTCAGCGTTTGTACTTCGGGTGAAAAGTTTCTCAGCCTTCTCCAAGGTTGAATTTATCGCCGTAATCTGACGCTCGATCTCGGTCTTTCGCTCTGATAGCCGTTCAATCGACTTGCTTGTTTCTTTCTCCACCGTTGCGAATATGTTTTGCTTGTTTGCTTCAATGATTGCAATTAAATTGTCAACAAATGTTTGAATCTCTCTCTTCGCATCTTCGCCTTGTTGTATCAGTCTGGCACAGTCTTCATCAAGTCGGCTAACGGCATTCATCTTTGCTTGTAAATTGTGTTGCTGGTTTTCAATGTGAGACCTCATTTCAGTCTTTTGCGTCTCTGCTTCTTCTTTGATTAACTTGATATTATGTCCACCATGGTCTATCGTGACACAAATTTGGCAAACTGGCATTTCACAATCTTTGCAAAAATATTTCAGCTCTTCTTTGTTATGATCTTCCTTAGGACAGAAAGCAGGTCGCTTCATTACATCCTCATAGTCCTTGTCTTGAAATTCTTTGATCGCCAGAACACGATGGTCTTTATTGCTACGAATGATGTTGTGTCCAACGACGCACTAGTCACACCAAAACACACAACAATGAAAACAGTAAGAACTCTCGGAGCTTTACTGGTCGCAGTTTCCGCATCGTACTTGGCTAGTTTTGCATTCTTTAATGGCCAGCATATCAATCAAGCCGTTCAGATGAAAACTGGTGGGAAGATCTTCGAGATCGCCACTTTCAGGCACTTTGCAAATAGTTTGACACTTTGGGCATCTGATTGTGTCTCGGCCATGGCTTGTTCTGTGCCAGTGTTTCAAACACTGAAGACAAAAAGTATGTAGACATGGAAGATGCTTCGGATCCGTGTACACGTTAGTACACACTGAACAAGACACTTCCTCGCGAAGATTGTGAAGCAACGTTTTGATATCCATGCACTTTTCATTAAGAACTGTGCATACGCTCGATCTGGGCGACTCAGTTTCTCGGAATTGAACTCGAAACAATGAAGGCTTGTGACTTAATTTTTGTGTGGCTTACACACAGGGTAATGATCATGAATTTAAATAATTATTGGATTCGGTTTTTGTGATATCTGGAACAATCCAAGGTCTCGCTTACCTCGACCTTGATTATTCCGGATATCACAAAAACCGAATCCAATAATTGTTTTAAAGAAAAGAACGCCAAAAGCATTATCTCAGCGAACACAGTTTAATTTTTTTTGTAACCATCTTTCACTGCATTACCGCAGTAGTCCTACCCTACTAGTAGGGTAGGACTAGAATTAGAACGGAACATATGCGAACCATGCGAGTAGTCCACCCAATAAATCCCACCCCAGGGGAGGACATCCTTCACACAGTAATTTCGTGCGTGGGAAATTAACGTCTTCTACCCCAAACCCTGTAGGAGACGGGACCTCCATTTATTCGTCCCCATCCGAGAAGACTAGAATATCTAACCATTTCTTGATGTTACAGAAAGGTAGCATATTCCTCTCAATTATTTTAAGACCTTGAGTATTGGTCCGGCCGGGGCTTGAACCCTCGACCTCCTGCACAACAGTTCAGCGCTCTATCCATTGAGCTAACCGGGAGGATAGAAATGTACAACTGTGTGGTAAACAAATTTTCACCGTTTTTATAAAACAATCAAGAGCAGAAAAGTTAAATGCATTTCTAAAGAAAGTATAATTGAGAAAAACTGTCGATCTTTTAGTATTTTCTATGACTTTACGTTTCTCGAAGGACAAATTTTGATAGCATGTCAAGTTGATCTTTTACATGATGATGTGAAGTTGGCGTTTTCATTTCATGTCTCCACATAAGTTGAATTTGGGAAACACACTGGCATGAAATAACAATATCAATGATAAGAAAATTTGAAAGATTCTGGTACTTAAAATCATATGATACTATCATGCGCTTGCCTGTACATTGAACTCTGTTGTGTTTAAGTTATGTTTCTGATTATTGTTCGTGAAATCTATTTATTATGGTGACACTATCTCTATTGAACCTTCTGTTAACTAAAACCTCCAGGTCAATTGTAAATCTTATTGGGTTAAAAATTATCAGCAATGTTAAATTAATGTTACTTCAGAATACTACTCAACATATGATTTATTAAAATATTACTTGTGTTCTGATCTTGTTAGGCACCTATCTTTTTTCCCTAAGTTCTTCCATCTACAATCCCATATACACCTACCTCAATTTTATTTTTTTCTGTGTTCCTTATTGAAAATACAGTCCCACAAAACCTAAGTACAATAATTATAGTAAAGGATTTGCTCTCAACCAACTGAGAATAGAACTTTGGGCCCTAATATAGAATAGAAACCTACGCCGCCTCAGCATTGTGTTACTTTACATGTATGTTTTGTCCAAAATTAGTCATACATTCAAACCAAATCAAGTTCTCAATGGCTTCTAGTGTAGAATACATAATTTCCCAAATATTCCGGCCCTTCTGGAAAGTTTTTTCCTCGTGTAATGGTACACAAAAGGCCAAAAATATTCATATGAAATGCTTCCCTAGAGTTAATTTCACATCACTTGCCTTGGAAAAGACAATCAAAACTTCAGAACTCAATTCCACTTTGTTACATAGACAAAATTATGAATGAATCTGTCAGGCCACCATATAGGAGATGATGCCGACGTTCTTTTAATTCCTAAAATCCTCAGGTTACATTTGCATCCTTGGGGTGTTTGTTGTCAAAATGAGACCTCCATAACAAAGTTTGGCCATTATAACCCTCATCTTGGAAATGAACATTTCAGGACTATTGTATGCTAGTTATCTTGTTTTAAAAAAAAAATAGGAACAGTATTGAAAACTATCTATCTTTAATCAAATATAAGCTCTTGTAATAGAAACTCAGTCAGACAACAGACACTAAAAAGCAGCTCAATTTCGTAAACTACACATGTACGCATTGCGGACCTACTTTTTAAAGCTTTTCTTGCAATCTGTTATTTGTTATGACAGCAAGTTGAGTCTACGCCAAGCACAGACTTATTAATCCTTGAAAGACAATTTCAATTTGTCTTGGATTCCTGGTTCTCAGGAATGTGAAACTGACTCACCCTATGTTTTCTATCCGGCTGGAGCAATTATTTTGTCACAAAAACTTGATAACGAAGAGATCTCTATCAAAAGAATTTTCAGACTTAATCTGCGAAACAGAGGAGAAGCCCTGGGTTACGGCTGCAATGATTATTTCGTGAAATGAATCTTACAAAGTGGGTGAAGAAAGTTGACTTGACCTTTTTACAAATGTTTGTTTATGTTTTGACGCGAACGTTCTATAGGGAGATCCAATATCCACAAGTAATCTTCTTTTAATTTAGTACCTTGATGAGTTTAATAAATGACTGCTGGACTTATGGAAATAAATTAGCACCTTCTATATCAATAACCTACTGTAAACTATTCATAATTTAATCTACTTTATTTGCTTCGTTGTTAATAAAAATCATATACTTGTTTGAATCAATTTCACTTCTCTAAATTAACAACATTGTACTCTTGTAATTTTTATTTCCAACCTCCTTGATATATTCTAATATTGTCTACAACCGCCCGACTCGAATAGTTTTTTGCTACATTCGGGTGGGTATTTCTTTCACTTTTGTATTTATTTATTTGTTTCTCTTTTAAATAATAACATTTGTAGTTTTTAAAGTGAAATAAAGAGTGTATAGCAAATGTATGAAAATGGTATGGAGAATGTGTCTACTCACTGTTAGGGTGTAAGGGGTTAACCTTTCTCCTAAAAACAGCTTGATCTTATACAGGGAACTATGTAAAATCATTTAAACAGGTGCTATTGCAGTTTGACACTCTGCAGGGAGATCCTTTATCATTTAAAGACTCAGTACCACTTTCATCTTGTATACTGCTTTCATTTACTACCCTGAAACTGTCATTTAGGAGTTTGACTTCCCTTTCTATGTTTTTCCTTCTTCCAGCTGATGTTGAGAAGCTCATTTTTCATTGATTGTTAATCATTATATCAAATCATAGTCAAATCATCAAGCCAGCTTCTTTAAACAGAGGAGGGGTGGCCATCGGCCCACAATCCTTTGCGAAACCTAATATATTATCGTTTTTCGTGACGTCATCATTCGCTTGTAGCTGGTGTGTTGTGAACATGCCGAACATGCAAACATGGCGTCGTTTCAAAGCGTATCTCAGAATTTGGCGGAGAGTTTACAAAATCTACGTCTTTTGAATATTCACTGCGTTTCTAAAGATGACCATATAATTCTGTTCTTAAATAATACTAAAAGTTGCAAGAGAATGAAAACTTTCATGTATAACAACCTGCTGAAAGTTCTCATCACTAGGTCTAAATTGATTTTCTTCGATTCGAATTCTATCAAGTAGGGTTTAAGCTGAGGTGAACAAAAAATTCTTTGTGTAAAATGCATCTTCGAAACTATTCACTACAATTAGAATATGCAAAAACGATAGTTGTTACAAATTTGATAAACACTCATTAATGCATTATAGTTTCCTTTAACTACTGTGTAATATCATTTGAACAGGCGCTAAAACTGTAACCACTACGGACTAACTGTTTCTCAATAATACTTGCTTAAACTTTGAAAATTTGAATTTCATTCCGACTAACAAAAACTACACTATGAATTTTACTCCTAAGAACGCTATTTGATGATACAGAAAAACTTATTTTTCCAGCTCACTACCCTCTTCCTGTGATAAATTAATAGTCTTGATTCGTCTCTTCCCATTTTTTCAAAACCACTACTAAAGTTCGGTTTTAAAGGGTAAATAATTCAATCTTTTTTTTCTGAACCACTATACCCCCTTGTAACTTATAACTACTTCCCTCTTTGCCAATCAAAACTGTTATCTCAATCATTGCTCATGTTTAGTTTGAAAAAAGAAGGTCACTTAAAGAAATAGAAGGAGTTAAATTGTTATTTTTTCGAATATAGACCAAAGTGATGTCACGGCCGCCATATAGCTTACCGAAAAGAGTAAAATGGCGGTCATATTAGTGTTTAAGTCAGCCTTGGGGTTTCAGTTCTTTTCGCATGTAAGCATTTTATTTTGCTCCGATAAACCTACATAGCTTCTCACCACGCGAATGAAAACGATATTCAAACAACGTCCGAATACATGGTACTCAGTTATTGTACGCCGTCGAGACGAAAATGATGTAAGGGCCGCCGTATAGCTTACCAAAACAGTAAAATGGCGGTCATAATGGTGTTCAGGGCAGTCTTGGGATTTGAGCTCTTTTCTCATGTAAAGTTTCTTTTGCTCCGATAAACTTACATAGCTTCTCGCTACGCGAATGAAATTGAAACGACCCATTTACTAGTGGTTGTGCCCGGATAAAAACCCTCTAGATATGGGCGGGGGGGGTCCTACAACTTGTCGAGTCTCTGCACTCTCATACACTGAAAAACCTCCGGCTTATTTAAAGCGAGGTGTCACGGCCCCTTGTTTTTAGCACGCTTTAATCGGAAATTGTTACCTACAAGCACTTATGTAAACGTTAGTAAAACAAGTTAGACTTCATTTCTCTATTCCCTGAGATACATCAAAAGTTGTACAATTCCTCCTTCAAAGAAAATGATGGTGAAAAGCTCTTCTCTGTTTGATTATTAAAAATAATCTTAAATCGAAGTAAAATCTTTAAGCCAGCTCTGACGTTAACTCAAAACTTTTTTAATATCGCAAAACGTCTCGAGAAAAAAATAATACATAAGTCTTAAAACAATTCAATGAACTATTTCGCGCACAACAATATACTAAAAGTTCTTAATTGTGTCTAAGTTAGTTTCAACAGGTTTGACCTCTCTTAAGTAGGTCAGCTAAGCTGAGGTGTAAATTCTCTCATCAAAAATTAAAGGAATATGTTACAATTGCCATTGGTTTAAAATGTACCCACTACAATTGGATTATACTAAAAAGAGAATTCCTACAAAATCGATAATTAAGTTCTGATTAATGTATTATAGTTTCTTTAAACTACTACAATCTGCAGTCTAATCTCATTTACAAACTGCCGTTGTCTTCTTACATAAGAGTTAATGACACAGTCCTTTCAAGACAATGCAAAAATAAAATCCAATCAACTGAGTTACGGGCATTAAAACGCAAAAGCAGTGGTCTTAACTCTCCTTGGAACTAACTCGTAAGAGTAGCTTGAACTGGGTGATATTATTTAAACAGGCCTAAAAACTGTAACTGGTACTGACTACATGGCCGACTTCTTCTTAATAATCTTTGCTTAGTTTTCAAAAACTTGTGTTTCATTCAGACTAACAAACAAGTACACAAGTCTACTCAAATATCTGTATGCGACTGTTACCCATGTCACACACACAAATGTGGCCATTTCCAAGAACTGCTAAAGCGTTTGGAATATTAAACTCGCCTATATTGTCACCATTTGTTCCAAACCTGCCGAGAAACTTTCCATTCAGGTCAAATACTTGTATTCTGTGATTACCTCCATCACAGACCGTCAGGTGTCCGAAATTGTTCAATGTCAAACATCTGGGTAAATTAAATTCCCCGTCCCCAGTACCCTCCTTTCCAAACTTGTACAGAAAGTTTCCACTCCTGTCAAACACTTTAATACAATGTTGATGATGATCAGACACTATGAGATATCTATCATACTGAACACAGTGGAATGGACATTTAAATAAACCCTTCCCACCGATCTTCTGAAGGAACTTGCCATCAGGAGAAAAGATCTTAATCAGTTTATTACCAGAATCAGCGACAATGATATTCCCATCACTGTCTACAGATAAACCCCAGGGATTATTGAGTTGACTATCGAGTCTTCCTTCCCCACCAAAGCTTCCCACGTACTCACCCTCCCCACTGAAAATCTGGACTCTATTACTCCCATGGTCTGCTGCGAAAATATTCCCATTATCATGATATGTTATACCCCTGGGATAAATAAATTCTCCCGCTTTGGTACCTGTCCGACCAAAGGATCTTAAGTAATTTCCTTTGCTGTTAAAAATTTGAACTCTGTGGTTCCATTGATCAGTTACAGCTATTTCATTCTTATTATTTACTGCTACCCCCCAAGGATAACCAAACATTCCTAAAGACGAACCTTTTTTTCCAAAGGACAAAATAGGTTTTAACTGAAATGGTGTCACATGCACAGTGAAAGGACTGTCATGAACATGTTCTCCGTTTACCTCTACTGCCACTTGGCATTTTCCCTGACCTCTGAAAAGATAGCTAATCTGATAGACTCCATCCTTACAGTCATTTATTTGCACTTCTGTCACGCTTTCTCGTCCTTGTTCGTCCCTGATCTCCACCGTTACATGGTCACATTCATTGTAATACAGTCTTCCTTCGACGTCTCTTGTGGTCAAAGTAAACTGCGCTTCACGGTTAATAATTCCTTCTTTAAGTCCTTTGCCTTCAACAACACACTGACTGGCTTTTGTTCCCTTTTTCAAAGTTCCGATGCCTTCAGTTTTGATAGTGTTGAGTAACCTTTGATTTCCAACGAAGAGAAAATGAGCCACGATTTCCGGGTCACGGTCAGTTGGTTCCGTTTGATCAGCTCCTTCAAGGATGGTGTCAAATGACATCTTCAATTGAACGACTTCAGCGTTTGTACTTCGGGTGAAAAGTTTCTCGGCCTTCTCCAGAGATGATTTTATCGCCTTTATCTGACTCTCGATCTCGGTCTTTTGCTTTGTCACGCATTCAATCGACTTGCTCGTTTCTTTCTCTAGTGTTGCGAATATGTTTCGCTTCTTTGCTTCAATGACTGCAGTTAAATTTTCAACAAATGTTTGAACAGCTCTCTTTACATCTCTGCCATTTTGTATGAGTCTGGCACAGTCTTCATCACATTTGATAACGGCATTCTCCTTTGCTTGCAGATTGCGTGGCTGATTTTCAATGAAAGAGTTCATTTCAGTCTTTTGTGTCTCTGCTTCTTCTTTGATCAGTTTCATATCATGACCACCGTGGTTCAATGTGACGCAGGTCTGGCAAACTGGCATTTCACACTCTTTACAAAAGAATTTCAGCTCCTCATTGTTATGATCTTCCTTTCGACAAAGAGCAGGTCGTTTCATGACATCCTCATAATCCTTGTCTTGAAAGTCTTTGAGGGCCAGAACACGATGATCTTTGTTGCCGCGAATGATGTTGTGTCCAACGACGCACTCGTCGCACCAAAACACGCAACAATGAAAACAGTAAGAAATCTCGGAGCTTTTCTTATCGCAATTTCCACATCGTACCTGGCTAGTTTTGCACTCTTTAATTGCCAGCACATCAATCAAGCCATACAGATAAAAACTGGTGGGAAGATCTTCGAGATCGCCACTTTCAGGCACTTTGCTAATAGCTTGACACATTGGACATCTGATAGAGTCTCGGCCGTGGCTTGTTCTTTGCCAGTGTTTCAGACACTGAAGACAAAAAGTATGTAGACATGGAAGATGCTTTGGATCCGTGTACACGTTAGTACACACTGAGCAAGACACTTCCTCGCGAAGATTGTGAAGCAACTTTTTGATATCCATGCGCTTTACACTAAGAACTGTTCATATGCTCGATGAAAGCGACTTTTCTCGGAATTGAACCCGAAACAATGAAGCCTTGTGACTTTATGTTTTTTTTAAGCTATTCTTGCAATCTGTTACTTATTATGACAACAAGTTTATATTGAGTCTCCACCAATCACAGACTGTTGTTAATTCTTGAAACACAATATCAATTTGTCTTGGATTCCTGTTTCTGAGGACTGATGTGAAACTGACTCGCGCGTTGTTTTTGTCCTCCTGGAACAATTATTTTGTCACAAAAACTTGAAAAATTAAAGTGCACCTAAACCCAAATTTTTTTTTCGCTTAACGAAATAAGCGTATTTTTTGGAGTATTTCTGTGCAAAAATGTGTTTATTTGCTCAAATCTTCAATTTTCTGTGCCCAGTCAAAATACGGAGAA